CAGGGCCGGGTGGAGGAGGAACCCAGCTACCGCCGCGGGAAAGGCGCCCGTGGGTGGGCGGGACTGAGTCACACCCGGAAAATCAGCGGGGACCTAGGGCGTGGTGGAGGCGTGGCCTTTGCTCCTAGGGCTCCTGAGAGCGGAGAACTTCTTGTGGCGTTCAAGAGAAAGGGCAGACGGTGCTCGGGAGGGAGCAGGTGTGGGCAGAACGTCGGAGACCCTGGCGCTGCTGGAGAAACCGAGTTGAATGAGTCCAAGTGGGGCAGCGGGCGTGGTGGCGCTAGCCTGTAATCCCAGCATTCTGAGGAGCAGAGGCAGGAGGGTTTCCAAAAGTTCGGGGCCAGCCTGAACTACATAGTGAGACCCTTTCTCAAAGACAAAACAGAAGATGTCAGCCAATTTGGAGTTAGAAGTGAGCTGTGATGTTAGTTTTTGTATCAGGAATATGTTATTGTTGGATACTTGAGTGATGAAAAAGCAGACCACTGTGCTTTACCACTTAACACACTGTGGAATTTTCCTTTGTCAGTCGGTATAGTTGAGACTTGCCTTGAACTCACTAGCCATGTGCCACCAGGCTTGGCTGTATCTTACAATCAGGTGTATACTTTAGGATTACACAAAGTTGAACAGGTTTTCCTGCAGGACTTGTTAAAGCCTTTAAAATAGTAATACGATTTACCAGTACTTCCTGGAGCACTTTCTCGTGGAACCAGGAAAGCTGGTTTGACCTAATGTATAAAAAAAAGGATGCAGGGCTGGTGAGATGGCTCAGTGGTCTAAAGCACCTACTTAGAACAAGCTAAGCTAAGCAAAGCACAGGGACCACGGTTCAATCCCCCAGCACCACATGCCAGCCAGCCCCGCCCCCTGGTGGGCTGAGCTGGCCACACACACAAAAAATATAAATAAATAAATAATAAAAAAAAATAAAAAAAAAAGGATGCAGAGCAGGGCGTGGTGGCATGTACTTGTAATCCAGCACTCAGGAGGCTGAGGCAGGGGGATCAACATGACTTTGAGGCCAGCATGGGCTACACAGTGAGTTCAAGACCAGGTGGAAGGGGGCTGGGAAGATGGCTCAGTAGAGTAAGTGCTTGCTGGCAAGTACTAAGGGTCTGAGTTTAATCCCTGGTTCCACCAAAATGAAAGAAACAAACAAACAAAACACCAGGCCAAACACACACTGTGGTAGTTGCTTAGGACTAAAAACAATCATTGTATCAGAGAAAGACATAAAACTAATTGCTGCTAAAGTACTCAAATGTTCTAATGAATTGAAAGAACTTGTGCTCCAATCATAACCTCTAACATTAAATACCCTAAAAACTTTATTCTTTCCCAATTGTGGTTCTTAGGAACTTGCCACTTTAGATTCTTCACAATTTTCAAATAACTTTTTCTGACTTCATTTATTTAACTATCCCAGAATAGCCTCTTGAGCTCTAAGTCTGATGATCCAAGACATTATTTATAGCAGGATGAGTACTCTCTGTGACTGATGTTAGCTGAGTTTTATTTTGGGAGGAACAATCCACGAATCATTAAAAAGATTGATCGGGCTGGTGGTGTTGGAAGCTGAACACACTGCCAAGGCCGCTAGGGGAGGCAAGTTACACAAAAAGATCTGGATGTATTTACGCCAGTTTAGCTAAAGGGCAGGGAGGCCTTCGAAGACAAGTAGAAGGGCAGGAGCTGAGTCAGTGATTTTGACATAGCGATTCTTTGGGTAGATTAGAAACTTCAGTCAGGCAGCCTGGGCTGTCTGTCTAGTCGGCAGACACTAGGCACATGGATATAGTTAAGGTCCTTGGTGTTATCCATGTTCCCTCCAGAGAGCAGAAAAACAGGAGGTGGAGGAAGGGCAAGGTTAATCTTTAGAAAAATCTTCATTTCTTTACTTTTTGAGACTGGGTCTTGCTATGTCCCAGGCTGGCCTCAAATTAGGGGCCATGGGATCGTCTTGCCTCAGCCTCTCAAGTAGCTGGGGCTACAAGGTGCACCACTGTGCCTGGCTAGTTTATTTTCTTCAGATTTTAAAAAACCGTGGTGAAATATGTCATAGGGTCAGTCTGCAGCCCAGCCTGGCTTCAAACTCAAGCTCCTGTATGGGTCTCCAGGTGCTGCAACTGCAGACTTTCACTGTCACACCTAGTCCTGCTTTAATCACTCGTGTCACCAAGCATATTCAGACCGTTGTGCAACCACTACTGTATATAGCCCCACAACTTTTTTTTTTTTTTTTTTTGCAGAGCTGGGGATTGAACTCAGGCCCTTGCGCTTGCCAGGCAAGCACTTATTCTACTGCGTTATCTCCCCAGCCCCCACATTAAAAAAAAAAAAAATTCATTCATCCATTTGTGCACATTTGCATTGTTTCTACTTTTTCATTATTGTGAATAAGGTATGAAGAAGGGTATACAGCTGTTGCCCCAGCTTTTTTTTTTTCCTTTTTGGCAGAACTAGGGATTGAACTCAGGCCCTTGCACTTGCCCGGCAAACGTTTGTTCTACTGAGCCATCTCCCTGGCCTCCCCAGCTTTTTTTCTGAAGGCTTCTTTCTCCATGTTTGTCCCTATAAACCATTTACAGGGAGCACCTGGTACTTCTTTGAAAACAGGCTTGCATTAGTCAAAGGTGGAAGAACTTTGTGGTAATTTGAAAATTTGGAGGCAAATAACCTGGGCTTTTGCATTGTCCCTAGAAACCAAAGAGCCTCTTTGGTAGCAAGATGCCAAGGTTTGCCACTAATGACGGGGTGCCAGGATCATACTTTTTTGAGACAGGGTCTCTATATGTAGTTCAGTATGGCCTTGAATTCACTCCGTGACCCAGGCTGGCCTTGAGCTTGCAGTGATTCTTCTGCCTGAATCTGCTAAATGCTGGGATCACGGACCTATGCTACCGTGTCTGGCTCAAGAGTACTTTTTTTGATACTGACAACAAAACTCAGGACCTTGCACTTTCGAGGCAGGAGCTGTGTCACTGAGGTATATCCCAGCCCTGGTTTTTATTCTTTGAGACAAGTTTTTTTTTTTTTTTTTTTCTTTTGGTGAAACCAGGGATTGAATTCAGGCCCTTGTGCTTGCCAGGCAAGCGCTTATTCTACTGAGCTATCTCCTTGGCCGCTCAAGACAAGTTCTTGCTATGTAGTCCAAGTTGGCCTCAAACTCACAGCAACCCTCCTGCTTTAGCTTCCTGAGAGCTGGGATTATAAGTGTGTGCCACCACGCCCAGTTTTTTTTTTTTAATTTTATGTGTGTGTGTGTGTGTGTGTGGCCAGCTCAGCCCACCAGGGGGCGGGGCTGGCTGGCATGTGGTGCTGGGGGATTGAACCGCGGTCCCCGCGCTTTGCCAAGCTTGTTCCAAGTAGGTGCTTTAGACCACTGAGCCATCTCTCCAGCCCCCCAGTTTTTTTTTTTTTTTAATGTACTTGGTACAGGGTCTCACTATTCAGCTCAGACGTATAGTAATTCTGTTTTCAGCCTTCCCAGTGCTGGGATTACAAACATGTGCCACCATGCCCGTTTTAGTCTTGGTGGCTGGCTCAGCAAACCCAGGGGCAGGGATTATGCCCTGGTCCCTGCATTTGCCTGAGCAGGCTCTTAGGCTGCTGAGCTATCTCACTGGCCCTCAGATGTTTTTATTTATTTAATTTAGCAGAACCAGAGATTGAACTCAGGCCCTTGCACTTGCCAGGCAAGTGCTTATTCTACTGAGGCATCTCCTCGGCTCCCAGATGTTTTTTAAATATTGAACACTTCACAAAATCGTGTCATACTTATGCAGGAGCTATGTCAATCTTCTCCGTATCACTTGCTACCCAAATGAGCTCTTGCAGTCACGCTTTCAGTGGTCCAATGCAATTACAGCACCCTATTCCTGTGCTCTTCTATATTTTGTCTGTCCTCCAGCAACACAAAGCTGAAGGCTTCAAACCACATTAGCTATTACTGTTTTATTTTTTCATTGTTTGTGTTATCAGGGATCTAACTCAGGACCTCGTGCTTGCCAGGAAGGCGCACCACTGAGCTATCTCCCCAGCTTAAAGCATTAGCTATTGTGGTTTTTTTCTCAGTGGGAATATAGCCTTCTTAGAAGTCCTCTTAGCATCCACCATTGTGCGCACACAGCATTTGCCACCCCATACTAGGGTTCTCTTGACTTGTTTAGCCACCCTTGATGGGGAGGATCCACTTTTTCTATTTTTGGTGCTGGGACTGCACTGAGCTACATTCAGCCTGGGGGCAGGGCTGGCGCTGCATGTGGTGCTGGGATTGAACCTGGTCCCTGGGCTTGCCAAAGCAGATGCTTTAGACCTGAGCTATTTTGCTGGCCTAACCAAGTTTTGTAGATCTGAAGGGTATATACTTTTATATATACTTTATATATACTTTTTTTATATACTTTATGCTTAGTTTGTGGCCCCCAAAATTGACGAATCAAGGGAGGTTTAAGAGTAGGAAACCTGGGGCCAGGGAGATGGCTCAGTAGAATAAGTGCTTTCCTGGCAAGCGCAGGGACCAGGGTGTGTGTGGGGGTAATAAGAGTAGAAAACCTTTAACTAGGTGAGATGGCTCCTGAGAGACAGAAGGGGGCGCGAGTGGGGCTTGCCAATAAGCCCACTTCTCAAAGGAAGTCTTGAAGAGCAAAATCAGGAGGTGGGGACAACTTGGGACAAAACCATGGTCAACTAATAAGATTAAAAATACAGGGCCAGGGGAGATGGCTCAGTAGGATAAGTGCTTGCCTGGCAAGTGCAAGGGTCTGAGTTCAATCCACGGTTCGACCAAAAAAACAGAACAAAACAAAAAAAACCACAACCCCCCCAAAAAAAACCCCAACCAAAAACAGTAGTGCTGTTCCAATGGGGAAGCAGGTCACGTAGCAACTGTACATGAAAAGAACAAGGTGCTTTTTAGGAAGAGATGAGTCAAGAGTTCTTCGACCTGGGCTACTGATGTCTATCCAGATTTTATTGGACCAGGTGACACCAATTGTAGGCTATTGCTCATCCCCAGGGAAGGCAGGCAGGCCTGGCCATTGCTCTGCATCCTGCGGCTTGGCCTTCAACGATGCACCTCCTGCCAGAGTTGTAATGAGTTTTCATCCTCTTCACTGACTCCCTGAAGGGCCCAGCCCTGTCCGTTGAGAACCTTTCTACCTGATTTAGCTGTCTATAATAGAAACAGTTACTGGAGACTCCCGGATTCCGATTCCCTGTTTTCCGAGGTCTCGCTAGGTAATTTATCAGAGGCACTTATGCAGCCTTGTTTCCCCGATCTCAAACTGACGCCCCCTCTCCATCTGGAACACTGTCTAGCTCTCGCCGCCCCTGCCTTCCCAGAAGCCCGCTAATGTGAGGGGCCCTGAAGCTGAAGACCCAGCAACTTCCTACAATCCTGCCACCGACGAGAATGAATGGTCCTTCCAGGGCGGGCGCCATGTCGTCCTGGGTCCCGCGCATCCAGCTCAGGGCGAGCTCGGAACTGAGGCTTGGCCCGTCGGGCCGCCGGTGCGCCCTAAGGTCACGCGTGATTCGGCGATCCGTGCGGCTACACTGGGAGGAGTGCCTGGGAGTGATGTCCTCCCTGCCGCCGGGAAGGGCGCCGCTAGCCTTTGACACAGCCCGACTTAAGGACACTCTCAGGCCGAGTCTCCACGGTTGCGCCCTCCCTAACGGTCGACGTACCCCGATAGGAGAAGAGCTCGCGGTCCCATCCCCGCGGATCAACAGAAGGTAGAGCGCCCGCGAGGCCGCCACCGGAAGTTTCTTTCAGAGAAAAGAAAAGAACAGCGGAAGTAGGCTGACCACACTGCTTCCGCTGCGGCCTCAAGACGGCTCTCCTACTGTCTCGGGAAAGGGGAGGCGCTCCACAGCTCACTTCCGTCGTGAGCGTAGCGCCTCGGCTCCCCGGGCGGCCGCCCCCCCCAGTCTTTGGACCGCCCAAGCCCTTCCCAGTCTCCCAGGCCGGAAGTGACACGTGCATTACGTGCTTGGGGCGGGGCCTCCGGAAGAAGCGTTTAAGAGCCGGCATCTCGCGAGACCATTCTGTTCTTGCGCAGCTCTCGCGCTCACCTCTCTGGTCGCTACGAGATCCTTCGAGATCTTCTCCACCCCCGCTACCGGCGCCTCTTCTGCTGCCGCTGAGCCAGAACCGGCCTGAGTGGCGCCTCACTCTGCAGTTCTCTCCCTAAGGACCCAGGCGCTTGCGTGGACGCTGGTCCCCCAGTAGCCTCGGTCCCCCAGTCCACGCGGCCTGCTTCCCGCGCGCCAGTCCCGTCAGGGTCCGTGTCCTGTCTCCGTGACCGGACCCGGGCCCGAGCCCGAGCAGTAGCCGGCGCCATGTCGGTGGTGGGCATAGATTTGGGCTTCCAGAGCTGCTACGTCGCCGTGGCCCGTGCCGGCGGCATCGAGACGATCGCTAACGAGTATAGCGACCGCTGTACGCCGTAAGTGTGAGGCGGGCCGGCCGCGTGCACCGGGTGGGAGGGCGCGCCGTCTCGGGGAATGTGGCCGGGGCGATCACCTCCGTTCCCAGCCGGGGGCCTGTGGGCGCCGGGTCGGCCGTGATGGCGGCCCGCAGCGGGCGTGGGTCTGCTCCGTTGGGAGGCTTCCCGCGCGCTCCACGCGGGGACTTGAGCTGGTACTGGAGGAGGGCACCGGTGGAAACTGGAGGGAAAGCTGGCTGGGACCTAGAGTGGGCCGAAATGCTTTTTGCCCCGGGCATGGCGACTTGTCTTGTAACGGAGGGCTCAGCGCTCAGCATTACAAACCGGCGATTACTAAAAACCTATTTGACTGAAACGGGTTCGAGCGATTGCGGGCCGCGAGACTGGAGCAGTCGAGGGCCCACGTGAGTGGGGGCGGGGCGGCGCCCGGAAGAGAAGCAGCCGAGGACTGCGACTTGGGATGGGTCCCGCCTGCACTCGAGATGGGGGTGCACGGAGAGGGTTTAATAAAGCCGGAGATAGCTCGATGTCATTGTGTTCACTTTTTTTTCCGCCGTATCTTTTTATGATTTTGAGCTGTAAATAGTCATTCTCGGACCAGTCTGTAGGCATCTACTCCTTTATAGCGGTGCACTTTCGAGATAATACATTTCAACCGGGTGTTGGCTACGGTTCAAGAATGACTCAAGGACTCAGCTTGACTTCTAGAATCTCTACTGAGTTATGGGACCAGTGTAGACAAAGCTCCAGAAAAGGTCTCACCTAGGTCTTGGTTAGAGTGAAAGTTTGTTTTTTGGATACATGTAGATGACTTTCAACCTCATTTTTCCTTAGACGAAAATCGTATGAAAAGCTTTTTATTAAAAGTTTGAGGTTTTCAGTGTGGTGCTTTAAGATTCTCAATTTTGACGCTCATCATTTTCACCTTGAGTTTTTATTTTTTTTCCCCCTCCAGTACTGGCTTTGGGATCGAATCCAGGGTTTTCTCTAGTGCTTGCCTTTCTTTCAGCCCTTCACCCTGAACTTTTGTCACACTTTTGTGGCCCTCTAGTGAAACTGTATGCCCTGTATACTTTGCTCTCAGAAAGTTACTGCATTTATACAAAAGCTGGGGTCTGGGGAGATAGCTCAGTGGAATAAGTGCTTGCCTGGCAAGCCGAAGGTCCTGAGTTCGATCCCTGGTACCACTGAAAAACAAACAAACAAAAAACAGACCAAAAATCAAAAGCTATTTGACTGAAAGGGCATCCCTCCTTTATATCTAACTCACGTGGTTTGCCTGAAAATCAATCCTATAACCTTATAGTTTGATAAGTAT